CCACACTGGCAACATTGGCAGAAAGAACTCCACAGCTTGTGGCAACAATTCCTTTCCAAAAAGAGCACTGGTGAAAAAGCAGTATTCTGAGAATAGGTAATTCTTCATTACTGACCCACTACTGTAACAGGTCAGAGGGATTTAAACCAGAAAAGGCGCCCTGAAGAGCTCTAGTGTGGAATGTGGAATATTAAAATCATTCAACAGTTACAAAGGCAGGAGCTGTTTTCCTGTACTGCCTTCTTACTGTGTGTACTGGCAAGTTTGAGATGGGTTGCTTTTTTTTTCCATTGTCTTTACAAAAGGCATTTCAGTTTGAAGGGTGTGTAGGAAAGTGAACTTTCAAAATGTTAGTCATCTGTAAAGTTACAGTATTCTACTTTCAACAGGACGTGAGGCAAAGTTTTCCAGAATTTAGATTCAAAAGGGGCTCATCTATAAGAGGATGACGTGGACATTCCAGTTATCCAGAAATCCTGATAAGGACCCATTGTAAAATATACTGCTTTGACATAGTTAATGAAATAATCACTGTAAATCCTGTGTAATTTGTGCAGTGTTTCTTATTCAAAGCAGAGTATGATTTACAGCGTTGACTTTAAGGTACACAACACTAAAACCTGAAGGAGGAAGTGTGGTCTTTTTCTACATTTGCCCACCAGCTTTAAGTTTTGCCTGTGTTATAATTAAAATCACATATGTTGAGACCTTTATCTCAAAACAATTTTTGTTCTTTCTACTCTTAAAATTTCAAGTGGAAAAATGAAGCTTATGTTTATTTTTTCCATTTGATTCTTAATAGACTTCTTTATTTGAAGCATCCCCATTTTCTGAGCTCAATAGCTCTATTAATCAATATAGAATCAAGCCACTTAAAAATAGTGAGAGAGAGGAAAAAAAAGGGACATATGGGAAGTAGCTAGGAAAGAAGAAGATAAGTATACAAGGGATGAAGATGCACAGCACTGTGCTCCCAAGAGCTCTATGCTTTGCCAAGCACCATCAGCAGATTTTTTCATAGCAGGACTTTGCTACCTAGTGGAAAACCAGTTGCTTTGTTTTCAGCCAAAGTTCCAGTCTAGAAGGAATCACACTTTAATTTAGAATTCTCTGATTTGTTATCTGTTCTGACCTTAATTGTAAGCTTTGCAATGATGTAAAACATAACAATTGCTATTTTGTACAACAGATATATCAGAGAGAAAAAAGCAGTCCCTCAGTGCATACAGCAGAAGTCTCTGCTCAATGTTTGCCTGTTTGCAAACATTGCTTCAGATAAATTTACTCCAGATCTGGGAAAAGGTTTGGGTTCTCATTTTGTTTAAGCCCCATAAATGTAAATACTGGATAAAGGCCACTACCATATTTCTCTTGCATACACAAGTTCAAGAACTGCCCAGCATTTTAGTTATGCCAGAAGCAAAAATTTGGCTAAAAGGAAGTTGAGATTACTGCAGGAACTTGAAGCAGAGTGTCAAAGCTGAGAACATTTCAAGTCAATACCCAAAAACCTAATATTGCCTAACATGATGACAGCTGTCAGTGACCTACTATACAGCTCTTAAAAGACATACTGGGGGATGTAGTACTGCAAGCTCTTACCCAAGACACAACTAGCTCATTTTGCAAAGAAAAATCATCCTTAATGAGATATCTTTAAGAACAATGATATATCTTATGATCAGATACGATAATCTTGCAACAACTCTTTAGTTTCCTGTAGCTACTGTTCAGCGTTGATCCAACTGATTTCTGTCAGTAGCTAGAGATTAATAACAGACTGTTAATTAGCTATGTCAGCTGTATGAGGTACTTGGCACCATTTAACACCAAAAGTCTTCTCAGCCCTCCAGTTTCACCCATAGTTCAATTCACATCATTTATTCACATGTGAAAGCATAATACCTGTGTAAATGTCACAGGCAGATGAAATGATGTAGCATCTCTGTTTCCACCCCCATCCAAGGAAGAGCTGACAGCAACTTCAAAAGGCCTCAGACTTACCAGTGTTGGAACCCACACTGTGCAGCTGTAGACTGCAGGGATGGCAGCTATGACACCCACAGTCTGTTCCACCCAGCCCAGCTGCAACAGAAGGGGATGTTTCAAGATGCAGAAGTGTGAGGTTGGTAGCTAATGGTCCTGCTGTGGGAAGCAGCTGAACCAGCAGGACTTGCCTGCATTTCTTTAAGTATATTGCCTCAAACTGTCACAGTCATCTCCATAAGATGTATCTATAGTAAGATACTATGCCACAGGTAACAAGGAAAGAACTAGCAAATATAGATATCATTATATATTCAAGTGTTACAAACATGTTTTCTGGTACTTAGATGCTTTATATCATGCAAGTGTATGTCCAGTGAACAGAGACATCTTTATAGTCTGCACAGTTAATTTTGTCTTTCTGTATTTAAAGCAGTAAAAGGGACAGCACCTCTTCAGTACGAAATGTCCCAAGGTATTTCTGTGCCTCAACATATACTGCAGACATGCTTTACTTCTTTTTAAAAAGGAACCCCCCACCACTTCCAGGATAGTCAACTGCTCCACCCAAACAACCACCACCCCCCACCCCACCCAGCTTTTAAATGAGACATCTGTTACTTATGCCCACCCTACTACCAGTTTCACAGGCACTCTTAAGGAACTGTATAGTGAAATAACTGGGGGAGCTCAACAGCCAGCCAGAAAAAGTGAAAGGCTTCTGGCTTCAGCAGAGGAGTACTGAGGAAATGCCCAGATACAGCCCACATGACTGAATTATTCTGGTAGCTAGTAGCATTTGAGATTAGGTTTACAAAATCTCTTTTCATGGACAAGGGTTGATGCAAGGATACATTCTACAGGCTTTCTGCTTCATTCATTTACCTGCGGATGCAGAGCCGTGCATGAACACAGATCTGCTCAATTCCATCACTCTTGCCAGTCCCAATCCCGGTTTGCCAAATGCCTCTTAATGAAACAAAGGCAGGTTAAAACTACTTAATGTCACTTGGAATGGGAGGAGACTGTTTACAACTGTCTATGCAGAAGGGCAGGTGCACCTAAATTCACTACAGTGGTTCATTTGGCATGGCTGGTCTAGCTGAAAGAACACAAAATGCTTTTGAACCTTGACCTGAGTATTACCTGCTCTAAGGGCATCTCATGTGCCACTAGCAGCTTCACTCCTTGTAAAAGTCTCAGAACATAGTTTCTTCAAAGTTTTACTACAGGAGATAAACTACCTAACTTGCAACACAGTTTTATTAAAAGCAGACACAAAACCTGGTAGGTTGGCTCAGTTTTTTCCAATAATGAATGCACATTAGAACACAACAATACTAAATTTGGTTAAACTGCAAAAAATCACAAGATAAATTGTGGAACAGCTGTAAAATGATTATGTGATATATGATGTTTCATTATAACAAAACTAGGAAATCAAAATCATGTTTCATTTTTTCTGTCAAATTGTTCAGAGTTTAGCATAAACTAAAAAACTAGCCCCTCTCCTAATCCCTTCTATTAATCTTGGACTTCTTCCTCCTTTGTACACTCAGAAGAGGACATGGAAAAATGAGAGTATGTACTTTTTTTTTTTTTTTTTCCTTCAATGCCAACAAGGAAACAAAATGCATAACTCAACTACTTTTTTTCTGGATGAAGTCTCTGAAGTTTAGCTTATTGCCTCCAGGTTCATATGCATTCCATATAACTCAAGGTGCATTAAGTCAGGACTCTAATCTCCTCTACTCTCCTTTCTAGCTAATGGAAAAATAAGTTAGCAATGCAATGCTGAATAGCTTCTCTTCCAGTGAGAAACCTGAAGTTAAGCTGGGTTATTCGGATGTACCAGGACTGTGCTGCAACAGCTGTAGCTACAAAACAACACAAGAGTTGTTTGTGCTTTTGCAAACAGTACTAGTCACACAATGAAATGTTGGTAAGAGGGCCAACTAAAATACTTAGCATCAGACATTAATTTATGTTAAGAGCTCTCAGCAAGCCAATTCTGTCAACTATTACTCTGTAGGAGAAGGGATGTATGTTTAGATACAATTTCTATAAATTAATACAAATTTCTGAAGAACTAGTCAAGCCATTGTATGATCAGCAAGTCTAACAGAGGCTGCTCTTCTACCAAGTCCTCCACTTCCCCCATAACCTCAGCTGCTTTCACATGCCTCCCTTCTCTCCTAAGTTTCCAAGAACACTTCCTCCTCCCCTTCTCTCGCTTGCGTCACCATACTACTGATTTTGGGTTGCTTGGCTTGGAGCTGCATGCATCCTGATCCACCAGCATGGTTAACAGCTGAGAACTGTTAACCATGAGTTTACTCAGTTCAAGCATCAATCTGGATGTCTGTTAGGAGCTACTGGCCACATGAGGTTTTAATATATCTTCTGGTAAGGCAACAGCTTCAAAGAATTTTTAGATACACCAAAATCCCACAGTCTAGCTTGGTGATGAAACTTCCCTTTACAGTAGCCACCAGCTGTAGTTAAGACACATTACAAAATACCTTAATCCTAAACCCTTTTTAATTAGGTGTTGACCTTTACACAGTGACTAAAACTAGTATTAGTCTTTCCAGAGTCAGAGATATTAATCTGCATAGGAGTAAGGTCAGGATGCTATTTTAAGTTAAGCAAAGCCACTCTCCCAGGCCCTTATTTAGACATATTTGTCTACACCAAAAATTGTTGTGTCTTCATTTACTTTGAAATGAGTTACTAGAAAGTAGCTGTCAAAGAAAAATGTTACTGGCTTGCAAACAACTGTAGTGTATTTTTCCATGTCTTACTGCTTGAGTGCTAGACAGCATGAAACATCCTAAAAATTAAATAGTAGATATTTAAATAATAGATTATTAAAAAAACCTAACACAAACCAGTAGATAGTTTTAACAGCCAATATGCACCTAAGTATGTAGCATACAGGAGCCAATTCAGAGCATTCATGGGCTCTTTTTATTTCATAAAACTAAAGCTTACAGATTCTCAACTCATAACCATTCAGAGAGACAACCACAAAAAGTGTATTAATAAAACTCAACAGGCTTCCAGGCCTCTAAAATTTTTCAAACAAAGTACAAAAAAAATATACCACGTTACATTACAGTCTTGCTGCCTTACACACCATCATAAAAAGTGAACAAAGACATTCAGCAACTTCAGGCGTACCATTAAAAAGATACCAGTAAGTGCTCCAGTTTTCTGTACCATACAACTTTATTTCAGTCACATCTTTGTAGGCAACGTATCCAAAATATTTGACTCAAGCATACCTTTAGACTGCAAATATACTGAAATAGGGCATCATGTCTTTCCTACCTCAAAAAAAAACCCCATTAAGTTTTAGCTCCTGTTATAAAAAGTAACCATGTGGAATGTGACAAGTAGTAATGTGAAATCAAAGTGCTTTATTCCCATAGCACAGACAGACACGAGTGGTTATGCAGCCATTCTTCAGTATATCTCAAACACCAAAAGAGATAATTGTCCTTTTGCACCTCACCTTGCAAAGACCTTTGAATCATTATGGTGAAATTCCATTAACTGACAGCTAAACAGTATCAGTGGACCTGCAATTTCACTTTGATACTTCAAATAATAAGTTATAAATGAGGCAACTTTTCATCATTTTTCAAGTTCCCTTAATAATTTGAAAAGTTCTACTGTATTATGTAACATTATATTCCAGTTAGTCTCTTAAAATCCAAGGTATGCTCTATTTGAAACCCTCAAATTATTTCCCTAGAGCCCAATAGCTGTCTAAGATTCAGTATTTTTGTGCAATTCTTTGCTACTTGCATGTGAAGAGAGAAACACTTCACCCAAGTCTGTATGAAAGAACTATAAGCTCTCAATGCAGAAACCAACTTTAATAAGGTTTGGACATTAGTAGTTGCATGGAATATGTGCTAAATTCAGATGTGCCCATGCTGAAGAATGCTCATATTTTAAGTGTTCAGTCAGAAAACTTCCTTCCTACAGAAGTCTAAAAACCTATTTGTCTTGCAGAGAGAAGTTTAAGACTTAAGCATTTAATTATCTTTTCTTATTCTTCAACAGAATTAGCTCTACATCATAACGTGCATGATTAATGCCCCCTGTTTCAGACCCCCCACTGTACAGGTGTACAGTTTAAACAGGAAGGACTGAGGGAAAATTTCTAGTTCCGTCCCACAGACATAAAGACAAAGCGCTTTGCAAGACTGATTTTATCCACTGCATTTATGTCAACCAAACCAAAATGAAGGCACGTGAAATCTGTAACATTATAGCTTATAAATTGTAAACTAAAGCTGAACCTCTCTAATTTCTAGTCCTTTTGCACAGAAGTAATGACCAGCACCTATGCAGAGGTTCTATATTACTTTTTAATGCAGCTTTTTCCAGAAATAGTTAAGTGTCACTTGCATGCCTGTGCAAACACTGTAATTTATTAGGTTTTGACATGAAGTGCAGAAACTGGTTGTTTATCTGCATGGAAAGTCTGATGCCAATGCATCAGTAGCACTTCCTTCCCGTCGCTACAAGAAATCTAAGTCACTAGCAACAGCCACAGATGAGCTGTTACCTCAAAAGTGCACACTCTTAGCAGCAGATTTCCTGTGAGGTGTTCTACAGTTTGTGGCATGTATTTAATCAGTGTCTCCAATTTGGATTTTAACATGTCAAAACCTATCTATTTTTGGTTAGTTACAGGCCAGGCATGCACATACATCTTAAGGAAGCCAACTCCAAACATGCTTTGACAGATGCTGCATTGAAATTGGCCACACTTTAACAACTAAACGCAGATGAGCTGCTACACTGAGTAGCATTCAGGATCCAGGGTCAGCTCAATACCTCAGCTCTTAAGGAAAGCTGAATATGGATTTAAATCTGCCTCCTAGATTTCACTGTAACTGCTACCTTTAAAGCAGAGAAACAAGATTCAAGGTTTCCGAAAGCTTTAGCAGACGGATAGGCTCGTCAATCAGATTAAGACTTAGTAGGCTGTCAAACAACGGTTCAAAGCCTTGGCTATCACTTCTCTAGAAACATAGGTTAAAAGAATGCAAACACCACTGCCACCACTTAACTAGAATATGTAATTATGCTACTTCATTCATTATGATAAACAGGGAGAGAGTTTTGGAGTTCTAGTTTTTCACCCTTGCATGAATGCGCACACCTTCCTTTTTTTTCCTTCCCCTCTGTTTGATTTTTTCTCTATTTCCACACAGTGTCAGCTGAAGGGATTGGCACACAAGTTACTAGCAAACACTGTAGGTATCACATTACAGAACCATATTAGAGTTTCATGAAGATTTCATGCAATGGTGTCTGTGCTCTTTTATTCTAAAAGAGAACGACTTTCATAGGTGACACATACAACACTATTTTCTGATTTTAAATGCAGTGAGTTACACAAAGAACATTAACAAGACTTGACCAGACTTAATAACTGGAACTGCACTAGGTCTGGCACTTGAGAACTCACAGTGATTAAAATAAAATGCTTTGCCTAAGACAAAACATAAGATACCAAATATATATAAAAATTCTTTGCTTCTATTATCTTGTATTAGTATTCCAACAGCGATAAGCAAGCTCAGTAGTACCTCAGACAGCAAAGACTTCTGCACATGGTTAACTTTATACACTGCTTGCAGTGCAACAGATTCTTTTTTTCTTAATAACAATATATTCATGATGTCAAATTAAGCAGTTTTCAATGCATAAAGTCAACACAGGCTCAAGTCCTTGATGGCTTGAAGCTTGGATTCTGACAGGAAACCATTCTCTACCATCTCATTTTGTGTCCCAAACTCCACACCGTGCCAGGTGGTATTGCTGTTAAAGAGAAACTTAAGGTATACCTAGATATTACTGGATATTAAGAGGTGCTCTTCTGACATAGCAAGTTGTTTGCTGATAGTTAATAGTACCAGTTGATAATGTAAGAGTAAAGCATTTGCACTTTTCTTTCCCCCACTCACTTCGCTAATCCTAGTAGATCCACTAACACAGGTTTACAATCCCAAAGCCTGCCTTTAGAGAGAAAGGAGCACAGCTTTTAAACACCCCAGAGTTTCTCAACCCACCCCCACTGCCTCCCATTTCAGCACTGAGGGCCTGGCTGAAGCAGCTGCTCTCAGGAGCTGTGAGCTCCCAGAGCCCTGTTGATCTGCTGGGCTCACACCGAACCAGGAGATAAAGCAAGTTACTCAGGACCCTTCTGGCCAGAGTCCACGAGTGTAGATGAGCACCCACTCGTACCTGCCTCACCTTCTCTGCTACACCTGAGGGCACTTTGGTCCGTGCATCCACCTCCCAGACCTCCTGCTCCCCGGCCTTATCCAAACACATTGGACTTCGGCCTGAGCTTGAATGATGATTTCAGGGATTTCTCCTCATGCTCTTCCTCCTCAGTGTCACCACGAAAGGAGGGCGTGTTGTGGATGATCTGAGTCCTGAAGCGGATCTTATTAAGCCGAGGCTTCATCCGTCCGCTGCCAGAAGCTTTCCTGGTCATCTCCTTGCCTTTGCCTGGCACCGCTGCCCCATCTGTACCTTCAGCTTCCTCCCCAGTACCGTGATGGTGGTGGGAGAGCCGGTAGTTCATGAGATTAGATGGCAACACCTTGGAGAGTCTCCAGCGCCCGCTCCCGTTGCCAGCATTCCCTTCCTCCTCCTCCTCCTCCTCCAAGGCCCCCACGAGGCTCCGCATGTCCCCCGAGGTGCCCTGGTGCAGGTACTGCGCGGCCTTGCGCCCGCTGTAGTCGCGGATGTCCACGTCGGCGTCGTAGGCTCCCACCAGCAGCTTCACGACCTCGGCGTGGCCGTGCATGGCGGCGATGTGCAGCGCCGTGTGCCCGCCGCTCGTCCGGGCGTTGATGTCCACGGGCAGCCCGTGCCGCTGGGCGAAGTTGACCAGCCTGGCCAGCAGCTCCTNGGAAGGGAGGGTGGCGGTCGCACCGTGCGAAGAGGTGGAAGTGCCGCCTGTGCCTCGCTGCCTTCGCTGGCGGGCACCGGGCGCTGCCCCGGTCCGTGACCGGCGCTGGTGAGGGCCGCCTCAGGGTGAGGGCCGGGTTAGGGGGGAGATGAAGGCTCCTTCCTCACGCCGTCTAGTTCCCCGAGCTGCCAGGCTTTTAGAGCACTTGTTAAAGGAACTTGTTTTCGGGTGTCACTCTTAGGGCTCCCGTGGCGTATCGAATATTTCAAGTAATAAGTTGAATCTTATCTACTGAAGAATTACTTCTGTGTATCAGCTCTGTGTTCTGAAGACATTGAACCCATCCCCACGGCAGTGCTGGAGCGTTAGTTCCCCCGGAGCGTGGTCCCTGTGCCTGCTGTTAGTAGTGGAAAACTCGGGGCTCAGGAAGAGTCAGATTTGGGGTGCCCATGGGCACATTACTGGGGGATGTCCCAAATTTCAGTCACGTCTACAAACCCAGTAGTGAGCTAGTTTCTTGCTTGGACTGCTAGTCTGGTTCTGCAGAGGCTTATGCAGAGTGATGCATGTAGTCTGAGACCTAGCTTTTGCTTTGGTACAGCATGGTGTTGTGCAGTTTTAGTCAGACATATGTGCAAATTTTAAAGATAACTATTTTTTTTAGCTTCTTTCTTAAAGAAAAAAAATTAAATGTTACACCGTCTCAGGCTATGTATTTTTATGCTGTTTTTAATGGGCAACTTTATATAAACCAAAATATTTGATTAAATCATAGAATGGCTTGGGTTGGAATGGATCTCAAAAAGATCATCTGATTCCAACCCTCCATCTCTGGGGACAGTTTTCACTAGTCCCATCCAATGTAATGAATCTGGAGAAATCCAGACGCATTAGTTATGCTACCAACCTTTAAAAATGGGTTTGAGGGAACGAATGAGATGTGATTTAGGTGATAACAATTAGGTGATCAACTAGGTGATATTTCTTTTGGAAGTAGTAAGAATGCAGATATCATGTGGTCAGTTTTGTGGATTTGATTTCTCTGCCTGTTAGACAATAGCAGAGGGACAAACTCCCAATGTCCTTGGAAAATTTCAGAAGGAAAAACATGAGCTACTTCTTTTCTATTAAGAGAATGCTTCAGTTGCTGTCAGGTGGAATAGATTTACACAGTGATTCTTCTGTAAGGAAAAGAGGTGTTCTGAATGAGGGCTCACTGCTTGATAGGCAGCAGCAGTTTACACACTGAGACAAGCTACTTCTATTTCTTTATTCTAGTTTGTGCAAATTAGGGTGCTAGGTGATAACGCACAAAATGCTAGCTGCCCAGTCATCAAAACTACATTTATACATTTTAGCAAACAAGGAAATCAAGGGTCATTTGCTACCAGTTGCAGTTTTCTTAATTAGTGTTCTACCTTCTGTTGGTTGGTGATTCTCTCTTGTCATGCTAATTAGTCCACATTCTCAGTCTTTCTCTTGGATTGGTGGGTTTCTTGAGTTGGTGGTCGATGAGTCGGTGGTCACAATCTCCTCCTGCCAAAATTGCCTTGGAGCTGAGTCAGTTGGAGGTGATTTCAGCATAGTTGCTGAGTTGGCTTGGTTAGTTTCTTCCTATATTGGGAGTTCTGCCAAATGTCCTTGTGGCCCGTGAATTCTGCATTCTTTGTGTCCACTTTCATTAGCACATCCTTCTCCCCAAGCTTTGTTAACCTCCTCCAGGTCTGAGATCATCGAGGCATGTCAAGCCCTAAATCTTAACAAGGCAATTCTACTGACAAAGTAATTTATCTTTCTAACACCTGGACATCTGAAGGTGTTAGATTTTTTGTTGGAGAGTTACAAATGGCAATGCAGAGGTTTTGAGGGTAGTCCAGCATGGTTGGGATTTAGGCTGGTGACATGAAGGTGAAAAGCCTCCCTTTCTCCAGTCACACTGTGCTTCTTGGACTGGCTTTTGGTGTGGAGGCTGAATGGTTTGTGTTAGAGGAACTGTCTTAGCCTAGTGGCAGTAGAGGTGCTTTGAGTATCAGGCTGAGCATCAGCTAGAGTTCTTAGATGTGCAGCCACTCTGTCTCAGATACACGTGTCTTTAAATAGACAGAAACCTGACAGTTCTCAGTGTTTCTCAGGACTTTTTAATAGTAATTTTCTTCTAGTAGAATGCCTTGAGAAATTTTGTTTTCTGACATGCTTTGAATGTACATTTTTTAATAGCCCAAAGATGTCATATTTTCTATTTAAATTGTTCACTTTGCATATACATTTTCCCTCATGTTAGTCTAAAATGGAATTATCTAATTACAGAAATCTAAAATGAGAGTTCGTGCAGTTAGTGCAGTGTGGTCTGTAAGCTCATACAAGGAAGTCCTGTGCAAATAAAGAAGAGATGAGTATATGCTGTGAGGAATACCCATATTCTCCTAGCTACAGGAATTCCAAGACTTGTTATGCGTACCTATTAGAAAAAGTGTCACTTTAATGGGCGTTTAAGTTTTAAATTAAAAAATTTCCTACTGTTGACCATATGCATGTTCACAGGAAACAGTAATGGTTTCCCATTCCATGTGGATTGGAAATACAAGAGAAAGAATATCATGGACCTGTCACCATTTCTACTTCTGACATGTAATTTTTTAAAAAAAATATGGTTCATTTGTATGAATCAACATATTTCCTTTTAGCCTTATGCATTTTAGAATCCTCACTGCCTTGATGTTGTGGTTCTAGATTGCTGTCTGATGTTTGAAAAGGAATGTGCGCCTTTAGATAGTTCTAATGAAATAGATGTAATTCTGTCTCAGAGTTCTGGTCCGTATGATGAGTGTAGATAATATTTTAGTTTACATAAATAGCAATTTCAGGTCCAGCTTTTCAGAATGAATTCTGTTTGATAATGTACCCCTTCTTCTGATTATGCTCTCTATTTTGAATTCTGATGCTTAGATTGGTTTTAGTACTTTTTTCCTAATTTCTAAAAGCAAACCAACTGTGATCTATTTTCTCCCTACAGTTTACATTTTCAGTTGGACTTGTCTACTTTATTTCATTCACATTTCATAAGATTGTTTGGCTTGGGGTTTTTTTTGTTTGTTTGTTTTCAAAACCTGGACTTTATTTTAAGCCTGCACATAGTCCTGTAAAGTAAATTTAAATGATTTCTCAAATCACGGAATAAAGCTGATTTGGCAGGTCTTTTTTTTTTTTTTTTTCCCAGACTTTGGCTTTTCTTCATTGCATGTGAAATAATAAGGAATGAATTCTAGCTTTTTAGTAGAATTAATTTATTGCCATTGTAACTGATATTTTAAAATTATTTTTCTGTAGCAAAATGTTGGCTGTCGAACTTTGTCCTTGTCTGCACATGTTGGGTTTGATAGCTTACCTGACCAGCTGATTAGGAAATCTATCAAGCATGGCTTCTGCTTCAACATTCTTTGCATTGGTGAGTAGTACCTGGTGCTTTAAGGCTTTAGTGGTATACCCATCTTAGGAAGTGACTGAGATTTAAATCCAGCTGTGTTGTTAAACAGTTTCTTTAATGTTAAGCATGAACTGTAATTCTACCCCTTCTCCCAGCTTTGTTTATTTGGGTTTGTATGCAGCATTTTCATAAATAATGTGAAGACCAAAAAAATGTTGAAAATGGATGCCAGTTATTTATTAATTTATCAGCAGCCTTTTGGATGTTTTTTTAGTAAACTGCGTTTATGCTTTTAATAAAAAACTTCAGATTAAAAAATCCTAAAATTCCAGAGTGGTATTACTGAAGTGTTTCTATACTTATCAAATGTTTTGCTCTAATATTTTACTCTTATTCTTAAAAACCATCTGTTGACTCTCTGGTTTCACAGCTAGATGCTTAACCTTTTAAAATCTATAGGAAGATGGTTTTACACTTTTAAAGAAACCAAAGTGTCAAGTCACTGTTCTGCTCATTACTCATTAGCTGGTAATTTACTGTTATATGTTGGATGAAAACAATAAAAGAAAACGTATTTAGTGTTCACTAAAAGAATGTACAAATACATTTTGCTCAGAGAAATCGGTTGACAAGTTTTTGTGTACGCTTTCTGTGATTATTATGTGTTTATTTAATGTGCAAAATGTCTTCTCCAACCCTTCTGTTTAACCTTAGGGGAAACTGGAATTGGGAAATCAGCCTTGATGAGCAGTTTGTTTAACATCAACTTTGAGGACTCTCCATCAACACATTTTCTGTCAAGTGTGCGACTTAGAGCCCGGACTTATGAACTCCAGGAAAGTAATGTGCTTTTGAAGCTGACTGTTGTAAAAACAGTGGGATTTGGTGACCAGGTGAACAAAGCAGATAGGTAAGTGCCCTCTTGTCACTATATTACGCTGAAGTTTTGGTCTTAATTGCAAGTTGATTTTTCTTTGGGCTTTGTAGTAAGTGTTTGTCTTACATGTATTCTGAATAGATGGTTAACTGTTTTCCTTGTGTGCCAAAGTAAACACATTGTTCTTCTCATGTAAGAAATCATTTTATAATTCAGATGAACTCTGCTCCTTTCTTTATGATATAATCTTTTATAAATTTGTGTATATGGAGTAGTTTTTTTGCAGGCTGAAGAAAAGCAGGGAGTTTGATGGGAGGCTTTTTAAACAGCTGAGATTATAAAGTACTGTAGATTAAATAGATTAGATCTACAGGGTTGTTAACAATTCAATTGTAACTTGTTGAAGACCTTAAACTAGAAGTAACATCATGTGGATCACTGAAGATCTTTGTTTTTTGTGTCAGTCAGTTTAGACAGAAGATGTAGAGGCAGCACACTGGTGTCTTTCAGAACTTTTTTTGAGTCACTGCTTGTGTGAATTTTTTACAGGACTGAACTGTCTCAGGAGATTTTGTTTCTTTCAGCTTAATTGTAAAGAATTTATGCTGTGTGAGCACCTCAGTGGTGGTACGCGTATAATAAGAGGTTAGAGAGTCACATTAAGAATATCATGACAGCTGTGGCTTATGGTATGACTGCATAATAGCTACTGCTGGTGAATTGGATGAAGGAGATGCAAGTGGATACTAGTATAGCTATTAGAGGTTTTGATATGTGGTATAGGAGGTGCCTTTTTGTTCTTTTGTTCTTTTGATTTTGTGTGTAATACCTGCTTCTGGATTTCGATAGCAATTGATCTGGTTTGTAAACTTATGTTCTGTGTAACAGAAGTGTAAGGGTGCACTGCTTCTACATCTAGCAAATCTTTCTTTTTGAAAGCAGATTAATATCTGGTTTTAAGTAGGATAAAGTATACTTAAACTGTACTTACTGTAAATCATATTTTTATTCTCTAATATTTCTCATTTTAGTTTTTGTCTATTGTTTAAGAGCTCTCTCATGTACAGTGCTTCAGAAGATAAAGCCTATCCTGTTTCTTGGTACTATTAACTGCATATTCTTTCTGTTCCTGTATTGTACCTAAGAGGTTGTTGTGTCTTCCTTATATTGAAGAGTTCTGCATTTGCACAACTTAATTGCAGAAATTTAAAAACATCACTTGGGAAGTTAAGTTATAATCGTAATTAACTCTATGTAGCTTTTTTCCACTAATGGTAGCTAGGAAATATTTTGTTTTATTAGAGGCACAATTATTTTTTGAGTAGCTTTTCAGAAATTAGGATTAGTCTGTTTTTTACACATAATTTTCTGCCCTACTTGAGTAGTCTTTTGACATGTAAAGCAAAAATCTCCAGAACAATATAAGAGAATTCCTTTCTTAGTCTGTCTCTGTTTAGGAGTAGCTAATATCTGGTTGTTAAATTTTATTTCCTACAGCTATCAGCCAATAGTGGATTATATAGATGCACAATTTGAAGCCTATCTCGAGGAGGAACTGAAAGTTATACGTTCTTTATTTAGCTACCATGATACTCGCATCCATGTCTGCCTCTATTTCATTTCACCTACAGGCCGTTCTCTAAAAACCATAGATTTGTTAACTATGAGAAGCCTAGACAGTAAGGTAAGACTTGGAAACAGTTCCAAGAATTTGTCTTTCTACAGCATCTTTTAGCTTTTAGGTCCATTACCATATTTCAATTCTATATCAATGCGTTTGGTTTTGCAATTTTTTTTGGTACTGTACTGTAAGTTCAGAATAAATGGGCTGTGCAAGTAGCTTGCAGTTCATCACTTGTTTATTTACAAATCCAAAGGAGAGAGACATGTAGCAAGAGCACTGAAAAAAGAAGCATAGCAAAGTTAAAAAAAGTAGAATCACACCAACTTTACTTTTATTAAACTACAAACAGCATAGTGAGATTGGATAGGGTACCTTCCATAGGTGCTGCAGTATTTCCAATTAAGCTTGTTTCTAGTTTTGGGACTGCTGGAAAGTTGGCATATAAAAAGCTGTGCAGCACTCTGAAGATCTTCATTATAGATAACTGAAGATGCATGAAGAGCCATGAACAGAACACCCTGCCAACGTGGCTTTTTCTGTGATAGGCTGCAGTAGTGGTTTAACATCTTGATTTGTTTAGAAAGGTTTAAAATAGCAGTTTCTAATTAAATTACTTGCATTTTCTAAATCCTTAACTTTTTTCCTGTAATGAAACATTTAGCTGTGTAAAGTTAAATGTTTAACCTATTTTAATAAATCTTATATTATTTGGATTTAATTTGTTGAAATGTTAAAAAAGTTGAAAACTTAAATGCATTTGCTGTGCCTTTCACCTTTTCCTTTGTGCTTTACTAGAGCCCCTTCTCCTA